ATGACCACCATTTTAATTATTATTGCCTATTATCAACTCCTTATGCTTGTATTTTTTGGGGCCCAAATAGTTTACAACGTCTTGCGTTAGACATAACTTTTGAAACGAAGTTGCGAATGATTATAGATATTAATTATAAACCACTGGTTCCGTGTAAAAAAATATGTGAATTTGAAACACAGGCCAATAAAAGTTTTGTGATTCGTGTTTATCATATTTTAGAGTTATTGGAACTAAACTAATAGAAAAACCATGATTTTTTTGTTCCTATCACGCAACATTTTTGAATTAGTTTATGAGATGTCATATTTATTGTTTTAAAAATAGGAACATTTTAAAAATCGAAATTACTACTCTAGGGACATACATTTTGCATAAATTAAAAGAATATTAGCAGAGAATCTCAAAAAGAAAATATAGTTTTGGTTAGGCGTCGTAGCCTGCATGTCTTGAAGAGAGCCCGTTTTGTTTCAATTGCTAAAACTTTGTAAAAATATTCCTGATATGTTTTGCTATGTGCGTGGTTCTTTTGTGGTCAAAAAATTTAGACGTACAATTATACTCCTGTTTAAAACACAATCCTACGGTTATAAATCACCATGATGACTGCATGTGTAATGTTCGTGGATATAATACTAAACATATGAAAAAATATTGTTATCCAAACCTCTCATCTGCAATTAGGCGAGGGTCCTAGATGACCCAATACTTGAGAATCTAGTCAATATAAAAGAAAATACCACAAATTTTTCTGAAACTGAAATAGATGAAGTTACCCTTGGTGATGTTGGTGATATATGGAGTGTTTCTTAGCAACCACAGTTATTGTAACAATCAGAACTTAATGACCTACTCAGAGACTTCGGTTTACCTAAGGATCTTTCCGAAATTATAGCATCTAGACTTCGAAGTAAAGAATAAAAAACAGAGACAGAATTTATAGGCTATTTTAAACAAAAACACTTGTTTATTGAACCAATATTCCTAACAATTCCTAATAAAGATACTTGGTACAGACTACAATTCTGAGGACTGTAGGCTTTTTATTGACTTACTGACAACCCTTAAACGGAAACGTTATTGCTTGTTGCTCATTCTGTGACAATGCAAGAATGCTACAAAAATCTGGGATTACCGCTTCAGAAAATCAAATAGGAAGGCTATAGTTCGATGATTTGTGGTGACTTAAAAATTGTGGGACTTCTAGTAAGGCAGCAGTCAGAATATATGGAGTAATCCTGTTTTTGTGAGAGTGGAAGAAAAAGAACTTGCCAAAAAGGAATAATTTAACTCCCGAATCAAAAAATATACTTGACGATAATAGTCTTTATTGATCCGCCGTTGCGTATTAAATTTGGACTCATGCTGAAACTTTAAATAAAGATGGAAAATCAGATAGGGTGGAATGGAAGATCAAAACTTTGTGAATACCATGATCGAATCTGAAAAATTTGCACGGGTCTCATTTACTGATGGTATAAAAGGTTTTCTAGAAAACAACAAATGTCGAAATTACAAAGACATTGTAGAAAACATGTTAGAGAAATTTAGGGAAATTGGATGCAAAATGAATATACTTTATGCACTCGCACCTGGACTACTTTTCCAACTATCTTGGTGCCGTGAGTGAGGTGCAAGATGAGAAGTTCCACGAAGATATAAAGGAAATGGAACGCAGATATCAACGTCGATGAAACGTTGCAATGATGGCAGATTACTGCTGATTATTAACAAGGGACAATCCGGTCATGGAATATACAAAAAAATCCACTAAACGAAGTTTTTCTGAGAAATTCTCCAAAAACAAATTGACCGAACTATTGTTTGGGACTATGTCATTTAATTTGGATTTTTTAATTGGATTTTGTTCTTGTACTCATAAAAATAATATTTAAGTCAAAAATTTTCATTGATTAATTTATTGTTGATAAAAAATAGATAGAAGAAAACCAGCTTTCAAAAATTTAAAAATTGTTCACCTTTGAAATTGGTGATCCGATTTACAGTTTCCGTCAGTCTGGCTATGAAACGGAACACATATGATTTTACTTCGTTGTTATTAAACAATTATTGAAACAATCAGCCCGAAATAACAGGACAGTTAGGTAAATATTAAAGATCAGAGGTCCCAGAACAGTGCCTTGCCGTACACCAATCATTTAAAACATTCATCCACTGCATGATGGTTCTGTTAATATATTTAAAAAGAAATAAATTATTCGCTCTTTTCACGCAGACGTGAAGTTTGTTATCGAATTTTAGAAATTAACAGCAATCGGTCCTCTCCAAAAAAATTCTTCGATCAGATCTCAAATCAGAAGGAAGATTTTCTTTAAAATTATAACCACCGAGTGACATGAATCTGGGGAATTGTAGATGTCGCTCGAAAATCAGCCGAAACTGGTTTTTTAATGTACCAAAATTACCGGTACGACTTGGATAATTTCGTAGTTGTGGTCGTACCGGTCGTTGTCTTCGCGGAAGTCACTTTTTTTTAAGCAAACTCGTCTCTAATACCTATTTAAATTATTACCCGGTTTTATGGATGACCCCAAGACCGCAGCGCGCTAAATAATATGGCCTTAAGTGGCAATAATTTTGTTTACAGTACAAGCTGCCTTATCGGCAAAGCGGATATAGCATCGACGTGGCTTCTTCGACGTACACAATATGGAGATTTATTAAAATAAATAAGAACTAAAAGTTCAGATTTTCACGAAATTATCACCGTGTCTTTATCAAATGTAATATTTACAAACTACCTGCTACTATATATACCAAAAAATGACCATAAAATCTTAATTAATGTTGAGAGAATTTAAGTTCAATAAAGGTGAGGTATTTAAATCTAATTGAACGTTAAGCAATACATTTGAATGTCTCATTTTGCTAATCTCCATTGCTTCCAATAAATTTAATTTTGACAAATGTTTTAAAACTTTTTCAAAACTTTCAGAACTAACAACACAATAGGAAAATATTTGAAAAACAATAAAACGAAATGTCCAAAATGTCAAAAATCAGGTACCTACAGTATCTTGTCCTAAAATTTACATTGGAGAAACAGGCAGATCCTTCAAGAAAAGCATTAACGAACATAAAACAGCGTTTAGAAATAATAGTCCAGATTCTAATTATGCTACACACTTAAATACAGAAAAACACATTTTTGACGACAATTTTGATATTTTACATACGGCCACAAAAAGTAGAAAATTAAATTTATTGGAAGCAATGGAGATTAACAAAATGAGACATTGAAATATATCGTTTAACGATCAAGTAGATTTAAATACCTCTCCCTTATTGAACTTAAATTCTCACAACAACATTAATTAAGGTTTTATGGTCATTGTTCAGTATATATAGTAGCAGGTAGTTTGTAAATATTACATCTGATAAAGACACGGTATTGTCGAAACAATTGTTATGTCAAAATATATAATTTGTTGAAAATCTGAACTTTTAGTTGTTATTTACTTTGATAAATGGATTTTCATCAAGTAAAAGCCATCTCAGTACAATTGAAGATTTATTGTTTATTAAGAGTATTTTAATGTCAAATTATTGAATTTTTGTTGACATTGAAATTTGCGGGGTATTATACTTTTAATTTTTCTTTTAAACTAATTTATCTCATTATCAATAAAACTAGAAATAATCTAGTTTTGGTTAAACACCATAGATAACTAAAATGTCTACCAATGCGCATCTAATAAGAATTAAGTTGAATGCACAGATAAATAGATGAGACAGTTCTATCCAACGGTCTTAATAAGTGGCACTGCTAGTATAAGTTACGTAGCCGAGAGCGCAATCACATTCTAAATATTTATTTTATTTTATTTATAAGTTTAATTAATTTCACTGTTTGTTTTTATCGAATTCGGTGTGTTCCAGCGAAAGGCACCTTTTTTATTGTAGGATTTTGGAGCCATGGGGAAGATGACTAAAAATTCCAGTTTTTGTGTCACATTTCTGGAAGGACCATGACCATGACCAACCAACAAGAGGGACTTCACAAATATAGGAGAACCAAATAAATACCTGTACTTGGGACAAACCATAAAATTAAATAAAGAAAATCAGACCAAAGAAATGAAGAGAAAGATGACTTGAGTATCATTTGGAAACCTTTCTAATATTCCGAAGAATAGCAAATACCCCCAATACTTATAAACTAATCAGTGTATACTCCCTGTTCTCACATATGACTTCCAAACTTGGACATTTTCAAGGGAAAATATGAAAAAAAAAATTGCAAAGACCCAAATAGTCATGGAACAACAAGTGCTGGACATCAAAATGCGAGATGTCTCAACACTAAAACTAACATTCTAACAACTAAACATGCCCTGAGGCAAAAAGATCACAGATGAAATCATATAATTATATATTAGATACCGCGGAACAAGCGGAAAAGGGAACGATTACCGATGTGAAGAAACATGCCGGACTAAGATGTTCGCAAATCTCCCACTATTGAGACGTGAAAGAAAGAAGACGACGCCAGAGGTGAATATTTAGGATTAATTAGATAGATAGGGGACAGATAACTAAATAAAATATTGTAACTTCGTATCAATTCGAAATGCCTCATATTTCTTACGATTTCCGTGGTACCAATGGTGAGAGTCGATTTTGAAACCCACGGTGTGAGTACGTGTATACCGCTATAACGGCTTCACACTTCGATGGTCTGCGTTCCCATCAAACTATCGACCGTATACCTGTATATATACATAGGAAAAAAATCAGCGGTGCTTAAATCGTATCATTCGGAAACCATCCGTCCCGTTTCGAACACGGCAAATGACTTAAAAGTGGTCTAATTATGCGACATCGCGCCATTGTCTTGAAAGGTTTTTGCATATACGCATAGGGGCAGTACTTAAGGAAATTCGTTTCTCGAATTACGGGAAAAAACTAAGCAAACGATGTCGCCTAATGTGTTTATCGTGTCGTATCAGAGGAACTGCGCCTTAGAAATTTCGACTTTAAGTGCAGCGTGAGTCATGAAGGTTGGTATTGGTTGACGGGTGACAAGTAGCCTGACATTTTTTTTTTTTTTTGATAAATTATTTTTTAATGTTAGAAAGAATGCTTAAATATTTTGAATTACTAAGTACAATACCACTGGGTGTAGTTAGGACATTTGCTACAACGGACACTCCAGTAATCCGAATTATTTTATAAACCGGACTTTTTCATAAGAAAACCACAAACATTTTTTCAGTCTTAATAAGGTAAACCAGATTGTTGCATTGCAAACTGAATTTCTCAGCTAGCTAAAAACAGGAGTTTTCCGATCAAGCTTTTCGTTAAAAAAAACATTAACGTATAGTTCAAGTTATATAAGTTTGAGATAAAAATATGCAATTTCGTATGTTGATAGGGTTGAATATTGTGAACATTGTGGCATAAAAGCAACTTTGTTATTTAAAATCGAACTCCCTGTATATTTTTAATTTTTTGAACTCGCGAGATAATTCTAAACAACTTTTGTCTCAGATACATTATGTGAAAAATCAACAGTTTTTGAAATAAAGCCGTTCAAAAATATGCCACAATTCCATGATTTTTTTATTTTAATGAAATAAGCCAGAACAAACAACATTTACAAGTACACATAATTATTATAATTTTTCAAACAAACTTCCACAGGCTTCTGTAGTACTTTTTACAAAACTTCTTTTGTTAAGTCGAACTCGCAAAAACCGACGCAGCAGGAATCCAGATGTTTTGTAAAAAGTAAAATTATTATAAGTTTATTTTTTTATTATTTTTAATCAAGAATTTAAATTGCATGAACTACACTATTAAGTTGAACATATGGTAGCGATTTTTCTTTCCACGGCACAGTAATTTATCAAATAAAAAAATCAAATTTTAATAATTTTGCGTATTGACCCAAATAACGAAAAAATTTTTCAAAAAACTTTTTCCGATGTCTCTAAGGCGTTTAAAATACAAATGTCAGTTGAGTATCGTAAAAAATGTGGACCATCAATCATCAATCTGTTGGACTATGAAAAACTTCAAATCTGTATTTATTTAGATACCTTCGCCTTCACCTTAGGTGTCTTCACCTTAAATGAATAAAAAAAAAATTGGATTGTTATGATATTTAGGAAAAACCGATTTAAAAAAATGTGACACCCTATAACTTGAAGATCCGTATGTGCTCTCGTGTAGAACCATAGCAACTAGGTATATTTTTAAATCTACTATTTCTTCTCACCGTTTAGCGGAGACGCGAACCGTGACTAATTGCGGGGTAGAATGGCTGGGTTCGATTACGCCATGCCCCAAAAATAATCAACTAATTAAACGAGTTCCTGTTCTACCGATTTTTTTCGATCTGATAACGCCCATCTTAAATTATTCGAATCCGTTTTATATTCTCAACACGCGACTCTACGAGGGCAGGACGCTTACGTCATCACTCGACCCGAAAACGAAACATCGATGCGAGTAAGGTTGGCAGCGCGCAATGGGTTTCGTCGCTCGACGTTGGCGTCCTGCGCCTCGGCAGTCACCGCCAGCAACATGGCGTCCGGCGAGCTCAGTTTGGAACAAATTCAGGCGTTTTTTAAGGAGAACGGCGGCAAAGTGAAAAATCGGGACGCGGTACGGTATTTCAGACGATACCTGACGGATCCCGAGAACAAAGGTAAGTCGTTTGCTTCGCGTCCTGGCGGAAATCCTAGCGAAATCGGCTTTGTTTACCGCTCCTACGGGTTCGACAACTTGTAGAATAATAAAGTGTTTTGACGGTTTTTTGCTCTGATATTTGCTGTGCTTGCACCCACGCGGCCTTAAAGACGTAGGAGCAAGTTTGTTGCACGGTATTTAGAAGTATCTACGATGCTGCTTCCACGAAGGCTGTGGAATTTAAAAAATCACCTTAATTGTAGGTTAGAATCGACGTGTTTCTCGATTTAGCTGCATACAGGCGTTTTTATCAGGTGTTGCGGGTTATTTATATCTAATTTCACGTTGTAGGAACAAAATTTAACAGAATTTTCAACACGAAGGCATGAAGTGCTAAAAACAAGCCCGCTTAGCAGCGTTCAAAGTTCAAAGAAATATTTCTATGGTGAATTTTCAAATAAACAGAAAAATCTTATATTATATGAGCGATACAGTAAATGGACTAAAATTAAAAAGGAAACATTTTAATTGAAATAAATTCTTCACTTGAATGGATTTCCGATGAGTAAGGAAATGTTATCAATACGTTTAATCTTAACCGGTAAATCATATCAGACGACCCGAGTGGACTGACAGATGAGCGGTGACACAGCTTGCATTCCTAATGTTTTAGGGGGCATACCTGTTAGTCATATTTACAGTATTTTGCATCATTAATTTAAGTCAAATAGCATTTACAATCTTCATTAACTATAAAGGAAACAAATTAAAAGAGAAATAGAAAATAAATCAAATAAAATCGAAGCATTTTATTTATTTTGTCAAACAAAATTTTGCATTTTCTGAAAAGGGAAAAGAGAAATACGAAAACAATAAGCAAAAAAAGTCTATATATTTTTAATTCTTATAAGACGTTTCAGATGTAGTACAATATCTACAGTTTTGGTCACAACTTAGTTCTAATATACTGGGTTTTGCATTGTCGGTGCCTAAATATTGGCTCCCCTCTACATTTGATACCAAAGTTGTAATATCACTTTTTGAAGGGGTCGGTATAAATAAATTTTAATAAGCCAATCTTCAGTTATTGATTTAAATATAATGGCAACATTGCAAAAGGTGAATACAACAATCACCAGCGATATTTTCGAAGATGCTATTTCCCAAAAAATGGCGATGTCAAGCTGGACAATAACATGTCAAGTAAAGGTTGGTTTACAATAAAAACATGCACATTTGGTTTCACACATTTAAAATGAACTAAGTATGTAGCTATATAATTATTTGTCTTGCGATCAAATTCATAGTCGGTTCTTAACCTTAAAGCGTTCTTGGAATTAATTTCATTTAAGGGATGTAACCAGGAAAAGAAACGACTATAAATTTGATCCTCAAGTCTCTTATTAAATTGCTAAAAAGAAACGTTATTTAAAATAAACATTATTTCTTATGTAAATGTTCAAACAACCATCAATTAAGAGTTAAAATTCTTCAGCCGTTCTTGGATTCGAAGATCATAAAATTCATTTCTAACATGCTTGGTGGATATTGTGAAATCCTGTCCTATTCTAATGAAATAGCGTTTTGTAACTGATTATGATTTTCAAATTTAACAATTCGGGACCTTGGGCCAAGAATATTACCGTTAAAAGTATTTCCCAAATACTCCCTAACCATACGGGAATTATGGACGGGACAACCATCCATCTGGTACCAGATCTCCTGATCTTCGCGAACAACTTCATCTAGTGCGGATTCAATTTGATTTTGTAATAAGTCCAAATAGGTTTGTACCGTTAAAAAATGGCGCAATATAATGTCCGCAAATTCCCACCATGAAATTTATTTTTTGAAGATATTGGTACAAAACGATATTAATTGTCTTGGATCCAATACCGACAGTGTTGAAAATTTGGTTCGTTGTTGACTGTGAATGTCCATGCATAAGTAAAACAAATATTTTTTTAAAAATCCTTCTTTTTCCATAATTTCAAAACAAAATGCCACTGTTCTTTCTTCGTCACATTTCCGGATCTCTTGATGCTTTTCGAATTTATAGGAAAAATATTTGTGTTTTTTAATGTGGTTTGATTTACAGCTAGTCCAATAATCCTCGTACTAATCATTTTCTTTTCAAATCCCTATTGTCCCTTTGTTGTGCTCCATTATCGGCATTTACAGCTGAACATTTGCAGTTATTTATTATGGTGCCTTTGGACTCTGACTGGGTAATAATATGTTTAATTGTTGAAATCGAAGGTATAGATTTAGCAGGAAAGGATATTTAATGCATAATTCCACTTAATAATGGTTACTTTTTCTTCAATTGAATAACGTATGTTTGGTTTTAATTAAAGCGTGTTTAATAACCTATAACCGTCGCAAATAAAAATATTGTTACTGTCACGAATTTTCGAGTTGTCATTGTCAGTAGTATATTATGCAACAAGTGCGGTAAATGCCATGACACGAGCGAGTGACTTAAAAAGTTCACGCACGTGTTGCATACTATACTTTTTCTACAACTGTTAGTTTTTCACATAGAGGTATTACAACTTTGCTATAAAATATACAGGGGAGCCAATATTTGGCCACCTAAAAATTTACATGGAATTTCCTATTTTCTGTTCGGTGTATAGGTCGATCCTATACTTCTGAAAAATACGCTTTATAAATTGACGCAGTATTTGCATTATCAAGAAGAATTTTTGTATTCGATTTCCAGACGAAAATCGCGTAAAATTCAAGCAGCTTGTCAACACTCTCGCCCACACCAAAACCGAGGACAACGAAAAAGTGCTCATCCTCAAATCGAAATACCTCAGTTTCACCGAATCACCGCCGCATTCTCCGTCGGGGGGAGCGTGGGATCCGCGAAACGCGCTGGGCATCCCCACGTTCCCTTTGGCGGAGTGTTCGCCGCAAAACACCCCCGTCAGACAACCGCCGCCTTACCGAAATCCGCCCCCGGTAGCGTCTCCTTCGCCCTCGCTAAGCAGCGTTTCGCTGAGCTCGAGCACTACGACGCTGAGCGAGCCGCCTCAGAACGAACCACCGCAAGCGCCGCCCAGACGCAGGGACTCCGAGAAACGCAGAAGTAAGGAATCGCTGAGCGATGCCGCTCAGAGAGAGGTGGACGCGGGATCGGAGGACAAAGCCTCGATCAGCGTCAAGGAGAGGACTCAGAAGTTTAATAGGATGGCGTCTACGGAGGACGAACTCAGTCCCAGAGTGTCCAAGTCTGCTGAGAAGGAGAAAGTCAAACCTAGTTGGGTGAGTTGTCGATTCTTGATAGCACTCGCGGGGGGCTAACGTATTTTGTTTTTCAAGCTACATTTTAAGGGATTTCTATTTTTAGCATTTTTTAATATTTTCTCACGTAACCTGCGTCTCAGCGTTTTATCGCGGTATGATCTTGGCGTGGAACCAAGAAGCACGAGAGGTTCGTGCTTAAATGCAGTTTCGAACAACCATAAACGTTTAGCAGTAGATTTTATATGTAGATATGATAGAATGGCAAATATTAACTTGGTTTTGAGTGAACTGAAGCAGTATTTTTTAATTAGTAGCGGGCTTCAAAGAAAAAATAAATCTACAAAAAAAACTTGTCAGAAGCATATATCGACCATGTATGATGATCAAGGTAGTAAAGTTCTTTGTAATATAACCTTATATCCGACCGTCCAACAATAATGGATATTTAAATTTATCTGAAGAATTACTGAATGAACATATAACTTGACCTTGAAGAATAGCTCACAGTTCCACGTGGCTTCAGCTCAATAAACCTTCTCTTTGTTGACTGCAATATGAGATGCAAGATATTGTCTTTCAAGGAGTCTATGGGTTATTTTAAGCATATTAAGAGAATTGTGCTTTTCGCATATTTTTCACAGTACCAACGATAGAGTAAAGCATTTTTTTGCCAATTTCTTATATAGTGTTAAAGTCATATGTAACATAGGATTATGAAAACTGCGCACTCTAAAAATATTTAGGATTATACAGGACTTGTTACAAAAGTATGAAAAAGAATGATTGTGTTTCCTTGAAAAGTTGGTAGGAATAAGAATCACATATTTACTATTCCTTACAGACGGTGTTTCTTATAATAGTTAATTCGTAAGATCGAATACCTTTAACTAAGTCGATAACGAAAACACTCTAGAAGTTAGTATCTGATAGATAATATTATTTATTATTGTAAGTATCACAGATAAATTAGCTAAATTAGGTACTTTCTTTTTCAAATAATTGAAAAATTGCTTTGACTCCAACTTGCAAGTTGTCTTACAGGGTATTTCATAAACTGATAGTATCATTTTGTTGATTTAGTTAAATTGGAACATCACAAAAGAAAATTTCACTATCTCACTCCAACTTCCAAGGTACTGAACCTGTCCTCGTGAAAAGCTTTTCAGTCTGATGGTTGGCTGGCTTCTACTTGCAACTACTTTCAGAAGAAAGTCCATGAAAAAACTCTAGAGTAAAAAATTGTTTAACGTCTCTCCGGACAATAATACAATAATAAAAAATGGTAGCAAACTTACCCACGGTGTCGTTTGGGGTTTTCGAGGTTCTATCAACTAAAATCCGACTAAAACGTCGATTGCCAAAAATAATCAGCTAGATAGGTCGCTGTAGAGTTAAACTGGCTCACTCAATATATCCCGATGGACAAATTCCACATTGGAAAATTTAAGATTTCCAACACCGCCTTCTTGACTGAACTTCTCCTTTTATCGTCAGACAAAGATTAAATCAAAATCGAAGAAGAGAATATTGGTACGTATCAGATCACGGAATATTAAAAATTTGATACACCAACTCTTAACCACTAGTAAAACAATAACCAACTTAATCGCATTGTTTTACTTTACTTGCCGATAACTTACCATTAAAAATACTATGGAAATCTAGCGAAATTTCAAACAACATAACCAAAGATGTTTTCGGGGTATGAATTGAATTATATAATGAAAATTGATGAATATATTAATTACAAAAATACATTTAGCACCAAGAGACATACATGCAAGGAGAGTTAAAAACTCGACACCACATAAGACGTGACTAGACTTTTATTTTGTTTGCTTCTGATTTTAGATTTAGATCTGGGAAGAAATTACGAATATAGTTGTACCGTTGCCTGTTTGAAACCAATCCGTTGCAGTATGATTAATATTTCCATGGATAACCAAGTAGTATTATTTTATTTTTTAATAAGAAATAAACATTCAATGAAAAATAGATAAATAGGAGTTTTGAAATACAACCGTAACAATCTTTAATTTTGTCCAAAAATTTTGTAATGAAGTTTGCCTAACATTAAGGTGACACTGCACGACAAACGTTTAAAATTCATACATTGGATCTTTACGGCATTTCTTCACGTAGGAAACGTCAATAGTTGCGACCCGATAAAGGTTGATCAAAAAAATAGTTTTCGAATATCTGGTTATTTTTAACTTATCGCGATTTGAAAAAACGATGGTAAAAGTATTAATGGCAAGGACTGATTGGACATGGGAATATATCAGTGGGACTTTTAAAAAATATGACTTTTTTTTTTAAACGAAAAGTTTCGATTGTTGCAATGTATGTACACACTGGATAACGAATGACAAATATTTCTTAGCCCAGCACCGATTTGACATTAGTTCTTATTCCTACCAAATATCCATAGTGTAATTTCTTAAAACACTGAGACAATAACAATTTTTAAATGTAAAAAAAATAATAAATATTATGTATATATAAATAGCAATAATACAGTTTTACGCATATTATGCCAACACTAAGAATACCAAAGCGTGGAAATTTTAGTTGGTATTATTATTAGGCTAGAACAAATGATACAATGATAGTATATTTATTACGTTTTGAGTGCATAAACAATTTGGATCAATAAAATCGAAAACCTTTTGAAACTGCCTAAAACCATGCTGTCGATAAGTCCTTTAACATCTAGGAGGTTATTCAAAGCCAACTTTCGTGATGGGAACCATTTGGCAAAAAATTACCATTGGTTTCGTATTTTACGGCGCGTTGCGAGAGGACGAGCTCGTCGCGCGCATCTTGCCGCGGTAGATAAAACACGGGTTTTTAAATCAATTGCCCGAATGACATCTCACTACAAATAATACGCGCGAAATTTATCGTTACAACCGCAACTTGGTTTTAATATGCGCCGAACAGATCCTATCGGCGGTTTGGAGTTACGACCGTGCGAACCGGACCGAGCGAGAGAGACAGAGAGGAACGAGATTTACGCGCTCCGTACCGTCGACTCATAACTCGGTTTATCTGCCGATTTATGGCGCATGCGAGAGAGAGAGAAATCGCGATACGTCCCGCGGGATGGCGTCCCGTCGGTTCTAGGTGTAATGGAATACTTTCTGGCTTCTGCTAGTTAATTTTTTTATGGGCGTTAATGTCCTCGCAGACTCCAGGAGTTGGGACCTTGTGTGGTTCCTGCGACTATGTTGCCCTAGACTTGTTTATCTCTGAACTAAAGATTTTAATCAGCTTAGATTGATTAGTATTCTTTCAACTCATTGTAGTATTCTATAGTAATAAATGTGCTCAACCATTGTTTGTTCGACTGGGCGTACCACAGGGTAGCCTTATGGATCCGTTTTTATATGCTATTTAAACTTTTAATTTTACAGTCATTGGAGCATTGCAGTTATCACCTCCATGCGGATGACACTCAGATCTATTTCCTGTTAGTAAAATTAAAGAAGTTGAAATTTTCATTAACGCAGACCTATGTAAATCTTATAAGACTGCCTCTGATCATCTGTTGCAGCTTAATCCAACTAAATCGCCAGAAATTTCAAGTAAAAAATGTTATGCTTATAAAACGACACTCCTCAACCATGTTCACTTACAGGCAAAGGTTTGGGTTTGATAGTCGATTCTAAGTTGCGTTTCAGGGATCACGTCACAACAAAACTGAGAACGGGGTATGGAAATTCTAAACTGATTTACATCAACAGACAAACAAAACATTACATTGTGAAACTAGTTCTTGTCCCAATTAAATCACTGCTGTGGGGTCCATTCGACATGTTAAATAGGTTTAAACTACATCGTGCTATATTTTATCTTGTCAAGTACAAATCCACTGAGTATGAGAGAACCATCAGCGCCTGGAACCTATATTCGAAGATTTTTTGTTATATAGGTTATATAGGTAAAACTAGGCTTGAACAGAAACTGGTTCTTCAAGATGCCTGAGACTTTTGTTTAAAAGAAAATGTATTTTTGGGAGCAACAATAAATGTATTATTATTATTATTATATATGAAAAGTCTAGATGGTGGTCATATGGGTCAAAATATTGGGCATCTGTTGCTATAAGTGCGTGACATACTATTAATTAAATTTCAATGGGAAAAATTTCGGTGCTTTTTAGAAGGTCTATTGTCATGTTTCCAGTTGTCGATTGGAAATAAATATTTCTCCAAATCGTCGTTCCGAACTCGCAAACCAGTTCCTTGGTGAAGCTCGTTATCTGGTCGATCGGTATTGTGTTTGCCGAGGCAATAACACGCGGCAAATTGAATCGAGCGACGCCGGCGTGCGGTCGGGGGCCCGAGAACAGTGCCCCGAGGCGCACCTCCTGACAGGGTGACGGACCGCTGTCAAAGTTAACCTTCGCAGTGGGGTGGTGGGGGGGCTGCGTTCCCGCTGCCAATATAATAGGATTTTTATGAGGGCGCCACCATTGTTTGTAGATTTAACGTTTCCGTAACTAAGTCGCTTATAAATAGGGAGAGCAGAGAGTACGACTAAGGGTCCCACACGAAGGCGTACCTCACATTCTTCTATTCCATCGCGCATTTGATCGATCAATCTTGAACAGAGTTAATAACATTCGCCACACTCATTATTAAATTTGTTCCTCTTAAAAGGGTTAATAGATTTCTCGACGAGCTTAGTCATGGCGCGGCCTGAGCGGTACCATCGGCGCGAGATGAAAAAAACTTAATTGAATATCTCGTTGCCGGGACACCTAGCGGTGGCCCAAAAAACGCCGCGGGCGGGCAATCGCCCTCTCTTTCGACATGTTTAGAAGTACCTCGTCATCCCGTTTACCAGTGTTTATATGGAGGTAACACCAAAAGAACTTTCGTATTCATTTGTAAGGAAGTGCGGGCTTCAAAAATTAACAGGGTACAGATGGAAGACCAGAACATTGATAAAAATAAACCGTCTTCCTAATCGGATAATATATTGAAGTCCGTTCAGACTCCCCACTAAAGATT